TTTGCGTCAGCGTACGCCAGCGTCTCTGAGCGTTTCGAGCGGACACCAGCGCTAGCGACTAGGAAAGTATAGGTATCGATCTAGCGTACGCCAGCGGTCTGAGCGTTTCGAGCGGACACCAGCGCTAGCGACTAGAAAGTATAGGTATCGATCTAGCGTACGCCAGCGTCCAGGAGAGAAGAGGATGGGGAGTATAAGGAAGCAGGTTGCTGGATTACGCGTCGTGAAATTGTGGCATGTGCAGCTGCGCCGTCCCGCTGCACTACACCATACATAGAGATTGTATTATTCTGTGCTTTAGCAGCTGTACGGTGTGGTTGCAGCCGGCGCAATCTGGAGACGTGTAATCCAGCTGTCTACTACCTTCTACTTCCTTATACTCTCCACTCCTGGACGCTGGCGTGCGGTAGATCAACCCATGCTTTCCTAGTCGCTTGCGCAGGCGTACGCTCGAAACGCTTAAGATGCTGGCGTACGCTGACCTAAAGTATAAACACATTGAACCAGAGCTAGTGAAGAAACGAAGGTGCAAATTGCCACTTTCAGGTCGTCGAACTGCGCCCTATGGCCCTATTGAGAATTGGTTTCGTTTCCTATAGAAAATGTTTTTAGGGTCTTGTGCAAGGAGATGCTAGAACACACTGGTCACTTCATGACCTTGCGCAAGCGGTAGTCATTCTTAGTCACACTCATGCTCTCTGTTCATTTGTTCACGCGGCAGGTGTTGTCCATCCTAATATACCATTTGGGTGAGTTTTCGTCAAGTTTAGTTTTCACATCTTATAAAAGTGCAATCTGAAGTTCAAAAGCTGTCTGTCTCGAGAGGAGCTTTCCAGCGGAGCTGTGCTACTACCTGGTTACTATTTCCGAGACAGTACACTTGTTCTAAGGCTTAGTGGCTTCAGGAAGTATAACCCTCGCTTTCAGATACATAATGTAGCTTTGTCCACAGGTGTCGTTCCATATTTTCGTACAAAGCGCATATCTCTTTAGGGCCATAGCACAGCTGCTATCAGAAAATTGTTTTGGAATACTTATGAATGAAGCGTTTTTGTGGTACAACTTTACAAGGGCTTCTGGTCGTCCATAACCAGTTCCCTCTGCATCTCGCAGTA